ATGATTATATTATAACGATAAAATGATTGTTGTTCATTAAAAACTATAACAACAAAATGACCTTTTATAAAAAATCATAGAATTATCACACGTGTTGTATAACTATTTTGCAAAGATAAAATGATCATTGTTCATTAAAAATTATAATATTATTGCACATATGGTATAACTATTTTGTAATGATAAAATGATCATTGTTCGTTAAAAACTATAACGATAAAATGACCTTCCATTAAAAATCATAGTATTATTGCACGTGTTGTATGATCATATATAAAAACAAAATGATCGTTGTTCGTTAAAAATTATAACGACAAAATAACCTTTCATTAAAAATCATAGTATTATTGCACATGTGGTATAATTATTTTGTAACAATAAAATGACCATTGCTTATTAAAAACTATAACAACAAAATGATCTTTCACTAAAAATCATAGTATTATTACACATATTATATGATCATACATAATAACAAATTGATCGTTGTTCGTTAAAAATTATAATGACAAAATAACCTTTCATTAAAAGCCATAGTATTATTGCACATGTTGTAGATCATTTTATATAAAAAAAATGATCGTTGTTCATTAAAAACTATAATGATAAAATGACCTTTCAATAAAAATCATAGTATTAATGCACGTGCTATATGATTATATTATAATGATAAAATGATCGTTGTTTATTAAAAACTATAACAACAAAATGATCTTTCATTAAAAATCATAATATTATTGTACATGTGGTATAACTATTTTGTAACGATAAAATGATCATTGTTCATTTAAAACTATAACAACAAAATGATTTTTCATTATAAATCATAGTATTATTTCACGTGTTGTATGATCATTTTATAATAACAAAATAATCATTTAATTTGTTCATTAAAAACTATAACAACAAAATAACTTTTCATTAAAAATTATAGTATTATTGCATGTGTTATTATAATGAAAAAATAATTATCATTTGTTAAAAACTATAACAATAAAATAACATTTTATTAAAAATTATAGTATTATTCCTCATGTTATATGATCATTTTATATTGATAAATTGATTGTTATTCAATAAAAATCATAACGATAAAATAGCCATTAAAGAAAAAATTATAACAATAAAATAACCTTTACCAAATGGATATTTGCATTTTAATGCCCCAAGAACCTTCAACGAGCGTCTGTTAAAACAGGGGGGAAAACAAGACAGTTGTTTTTGCTTTAGCCGCTTAGTTCAAATTTCGTGTTTTCCACACAATTAAAAAAAAAAAAAAAGGAGAAGGTGGAGAGTTCCACTGAAAACCTAATCCGTAAAGTTCAAACTTACTTATTAACCTTTTTGTTTTTTAGGAGAATTACTTATTTACTTATTATTAATTCAAATTTCGTATTTTCCAAAATCACAGACGCACGTATATATACATGATTTCATTTCTTTTATTGAGTACAGTCTCTCTAATCGTATGAATATGAATTTATATGTGGAATTAAAATGATTTAAAAGTTGAATTTCTCCAGAAAATATATTAATTATATCAAAAGTTGGGCACCGTTCTTTATTAATTTACATTTTTAAGAACCCCAGAGCACATCCCAGATACCCTAGCTAGTTTGCCAAGAGGTTTACAGCTTTAAATCTCTAATGGTTTCCGAAACTACACCATTAAACGGGAAGAAGAAGAAGAAGAGGTGGATAAGTACGAGATTTGAAGCTGTCAAAACACCTGTCAAGTACCTAGCCTGTCTTTATTCCTATAAATGCACCCCACAAAGCAATTGGTCCTCATCAAATGAGCCTGTCCCTTTACCTTTACTCCCTTCTTTTGTCCAAAAATGGCTAGATTTAGGTTCAACGTTAATGATAAGAGAAGCACGGGAGCTTCAAGAACTCAACAACAGGAGCAAGAGCAGCAGCAAAAGGAGGGACATCAGCGACAGCTTCAAGCACACAGCGAATGTGACAACAATAAGTGTTGGAGATGCCCTATGCTTCCTCCTGTTCTCGCCTTACCTGCATTTGAAGACAGCAGCAGGTACGAGCTCCATGAGTAAATGAAATGCTAGCTAAGGTGCTTTTTCTTAATTATTTATGTGTAAATCTCAGGTCTGGGAATGGTTTGGTTCGCTATGCGACCAAGTAAAAACCTCTTTTCAATTGTGAAGGAATTAATTGTTGCCATATTCACACACACGTGCATTTTGATCAATAATCAGCCTTTGTTTATTCACTAACCCTTTGAATCTAATGCCATGCAGCGAAGATAATAGAGAAGAATTGCAAGAGGTTATGTACAGCTCTCTTCGTCTCTATTGCATGGATGTTCTTCATTTTCTTAATGGTTTCTTTTGGATTATTAATTAAGTCTACATTCAAAGAATGCATTCAATTGTTTTACATGTGTATATGCAGGCAATATATCAATGTTGAAGTTATCCTTTAAATCTATTAATTAATCTCTACATTAGTACAAATATATATGTTGAAAGTACTCTAATACTCCAAGTCCACAAGTTCATGGGACCTTTTCTCCTGTGAGAATAAGTTAATACGAGTCAGAGTTCCTTTCTACCTTCTCCCCTGATTATTTCTAACATTTCCATGCTTATAAACAGGAAAGGAACCGACTCATTCAACGATATGCTGGCGGGGAGCTGCAATTCCTCATTGACTGGTTATTTCTCTATTTAACTCTCGATCCGTAGTGCTCTCTCTGTGTGTGTGTCTATATATATATATAGACATAGACACGCGCGCGCGCGCACACGATTCCATATTTCATTACCACGTATAATGACCATTTCTAATTATACATTTTGCTTCTTCTGCATGTACTGGATTCTTTATTAAATTGGGATTAAATATTACACCCACAGGTTTGAGGTATGCCTGATATCAATTTACAAAATTCTATTAATATTAGTGAAGACAAATTCAATGTTTTTAGTAGATCCTCTCCTCTTCTCCACTGTATGTTGAAACACGCAACTCTTTTATGTTTGCAGCACATCCATAGAGATCTAGAGGAGTTAAGGCGTGATCTGGATTCTGTCAAAGAGGAACTCTGGTAGATATCCTTCCTGCTCTATGAACCTTCATTAACTCGCATTGCATGTTTAGTTTCTCCCTCTCAGTGGGCTCATGTTAACGTATTTTTTGGATGAGTTATTTTTTCATCAATTTCCACAAAAACTTTAAATGAGACATGAAAAAAGGTTTTAAAAAAAACAGAGGAAAGAGGGGGCTAAATGCCGGTTATGACCTTCCTAACCAGTTCTCACTGAAAGGTTTTTCTTAATTTGCAGGCGAAAACGATCTGGGTAAGGGGAAGTTGGAGGCGATATGGCATGGAGGAGGAGGAGGGATCCTGTCAAATCCGAGTCATATTGTCTGGTGTTTTAGCTGGAAATTAAGCTTGCTAATCTATGTTAGTTTTATGCGTCTTTTTAGTGTCTTAATTAAGTCGTTGCAGTTTGAGTCAGTGCTTCGTCTTCGGACAATGTATGCCATGTTTCTGGTGAAATCTGGCTTCTTAAATAAAGTTTAAGTGCAATTTTCAGTAGAACTCTCTTTTCGGTGCTCTTACTCTGGCGTGTGCCAGATCCAGTTCTGTGCCATGTATGAACTATAGGATGTGGTTCGATAAAAGTGCAGCTTTCAATGATATCTTGCTCTAAAATGCCACAGCCGTTCCATGAAACAAATGACTCTGTTAACAATTTTCCACTTACATGAACGTTGGTATAATAATATTTATATATACTACCACGTATCATCTGTGTGTATAAATCGCTACAAACAACTTTCCTGCTTCTACTCCTATTCTACCAACACCTAATCATATGAGTGTGCGTATGAGTAGCTAGGCCAGGAAAATCGTGTGAATAACTCAAGCAGGAAAACACCCATCCGGGCCAGCGCTAGCTGCCTCCTTCACAAGAAGTTTAACGAGCAATAGCACCCAAATGCAAATGCAAGGTCCAAGATTTTATCTTCCAGCAGTACACGGGCAATAAGAGTACAGATGGGTGAATGAATTAGTATTGAGGCAGCATGGTAAAGGATCTCTGCATTGTTGATGAGGGAGAGAAACCAGGCTCAAATTTTGTGAGGGGTCCGAGAGGCTGAGCAGAAAGTAGGCATAGTAATTAGTGGTGGGAGACTAGGTGCCCTAAAAGGAGTGCTTTGCGATATTTGCAAACTGTCCCCAAAGTTATTGTATAACAAATGATGCAACTGTTAAGCTCGCCTCAGCTAGATGAATGAGAAACATTAGCCACCTTGCATGCAACAACTATCAAAAGAAAAGAAAAGAAAAGAAAAGAAAAAAACACTCAGGGAACAAAAATAAAGGTAAGGTAAGTCGACTCCTTAACCATGCGCCAAGTTATGTAGCGCCAAAGTGTGTTGACAAACCCTATTGACAACAAAGGTATAGTAAAGTGCTGGTGTAAAGTACATGTAAAATACAATGTTTACACATCTTTTACACTATTACTCTATTAATATATAAACTGAATGCCAGCAAAATATGTTGCTGAATTTGCAAAATAGGTGATCACTTCCTCATATCATTCATTGCGTTCTAGGAGCAGAGCAAAACATAACTCTAGTCATATATTCATCCCATTGTTCTTCCTTTACACCACAACTACCAGATCATAATACCAGCTATTAGCAGATATTAAAAGAAAAATCAAAATCATTGGGCATTCTCAATACACCATAAGGTTTTTTTAAAGCAAAGTCAACAGGAAATAGAGCATTATATGAATCTTTTCTCTCAGGCATTACATGAATGAGTCTGTATATGTTTATGTGTTCTTGAACAAAAACCAAACCTCAATACTGATTGTTATCAAACACCCAAGGTTCGTGCAAGAAGAGTTCCCGGCCATTCATTTGTACTGTTCCTGCAGCTATATCTTCTTCACGTTTCCTAGCAGCTTCAGCTTTTCTAGCTAAGGAATCTGCTTCCTGATAAAAAAAACCAAAAGAAAAAAGACTGATATTTCTTGTCATAATTATAAAAGGAAAAAATAAATAAAGTAGTTTAACATTAGTAGAGCCCTCATCATGTCTCTGAACTTGTTATCAACTTGGTAACAGTTCAAGGAGGTGCGATTATGCAAATACCCTCTACTTAACAGCAACTTATTATAATGCCTTGAGAAGGCTCTCAGTTACCTTCACTAGTAACAACCTGCAGACTAAAATTTTTACTTTCGTGATGGTGTCTGATTTGTAACAGATTCATTGCGGCAACAACTATCAAAAAGAAAACACACAACATGGGTACCAAATCTTGCTGCTAACAGTTAAATGCATTACCACAAAATCCCTTTCCCAGTTCTTTATTCCTTCTTGATGATAACTTTGACCCACCAAATCAATATATGGCCGATAGGATAGAAAGGATCAGGAACTCCCATGTATGGCCAATTATATTAAACCCTCAACAAATTACAGATACTTGGATGATAAATGAAATTGGGAACCAAATAAAGAAGTGCGTTACCACTCAGTAACACTGCATTTATTTCGCAAATAGCCTTTAAGTGAATTCATACACAAAAAGCTAACAGAGATTCCCTATTCTAATGCCCAAGACAAAGGCCAAACCGTTCAATATTTCTAGTGTTGCACTGCATTGACATGATACACACACCAAACTCAACGATTCAAGATGAAAGTTTTGGTATATATTAACATATTTACAATCTTCAATATAGCTCAATTATCAGTTACGAATTCCAGGACAATTGGTTTGATAAGGAACGAAACCCTAGAAAAGTAAAGGGCGAAGAAGAAAGTACCTTTTGGCGTTTCCAGAGGAGGAACTGGGCCTGTGTTATTGGTTGAGACCTTGGCATCTCGTTTGCTTGCTTCTCTTCTGCGCCTCCCATTTTCTTTTATTTTTTTCTTCTCCTTGCTTTCAATCTTAACCTTGTTCCCTCTTCTTTCGACGGAGACGACAATCTATTTATTTACTTATTTTTTCCCGTCAAGCGATATGTCGTTTCGCTTCTCTTTTCTTCCCTTTTGTCACACACACAGACACCATCTTTCTCACTGCCCTTTTCAGCTTTCAAAAAATAAATCAAATTGAAAAACAATATCAAATGAACCAAAGGGCTAGGTTTTAAGAGGATCGAAAAATGTTGAGATTAAATTGTTGTTTTTAAGATATTTTTTTTCATTTTCACATGTACATAATTTTAAACATTATTTCAATATTTATTGAACATCAATTTGACAAAATCAAACTATATATAATTGTGATTAAAAATAATAATAAAAAATAGAAGACTCAACTTTAACACAAGAAATAATACCTTATTACTATTTATCACAAAAAAAACTTCAATTTAATCCTTGAAGTTAAGGTTTCTCTATCATTTGACCCCCTAGTATTTTAGCAATTAATATTTTGATATAGCCTGTTTTATTACCCTAATTTTTTTAAAAAAATTCAAAAAATAAATAAAAATCTAAAAACATATTTGGATGCATTTGCATCATTTTGAAATTTTCAATGAATTTTTTAAAAAATAAAAAATGTACTTTCAATGTATTCGGTTTTTAACGTCTATATTTTAAAATTACTAATTAATTTTATTGAATTAACATTAATATTGTTTTTAAAAATATTAAAATATTAAAAAAATATTTGAACATGAAAACCAAAAATGCAAAAAAAAAATAAATGACCAAGGTTTTTTCTTAGTTGCTTCGGACTAAGCAATTAAAAGAAAAAAAAATGAATTTATTTCGTCTATAAATATACGGTTGTTCTAAAAAAACAAAAGGAGAAAATTTCGACGAGGGAGGAGGAATTTTAAGGGAGTATTAGTTAGAACAAATATCACTCATACACCAAAATATTCTCTCACCTGTCAGCTCACATGCACCCATACAATACCCAAAAAAACAAAAGAAAGATCCTAGACCCATTAATAAAAGAAGACCAGTCATTAGCCATACGAAACACCACCTCTAGCAACCAACCAAGGTGCACTACCCCGTCTCCACCAATTTTCCCTACCACAGTAGATCACCCACTAGCTGCGGTAGCACGGGCTCTTGTAGCAGGAGCACCATCTCCTCGCCTCTACCATTTCTTTTAGACCAAAACCTAGCTACCAACACCAAAGAAATCCTCCTCTATCTCTATTGTGACCATCACCCACATAGCAACACTGACCATCTAGGCATCCACCATCAACGTTCCCACCTGCTCTCCTTCAGCCCCGCCATTCGGCCACCATCATCAACCTAATGTCGATTCCCTTTTCTCCACCACACAATCGCAACTCCCCCAACAAAACCAAAGAACGACCTCCTCAGCCGAGAGTCCAATCTCTCCTCCCCACAAACATACCTAAAAACTAAACTATTGTCCTTTCCTCTCGCCAAAATAGTAGCATATCTAATCAGAGTCCAACCTCTTCGATTAACCACCAGGAGTCACCACATCAGCGACCACAATGCCAGCCTCTCTCCACCTTAACAGATCCGCTAGCTCCTCCACAAAGTAAAAACAACAAACTCCTTAGCTAAATAACCCTCGCTCATCATCTTCTCCACCCTCTCACTATGGCAGCAGCACCAGCGACTCACAAAGAAGAAAAGAGAAACATATTCATTTATAAGAATAATAAATAAACCATTTTTTATGTAATTTTGAACTACTGTAGGTGACGATGAGAGTCACCCGATCCACCCTGTTTCCAGTTTACCACACGCCGTCCCTGTTCATATACCTCCAACAATCTCTAGACTTGATTCTAGTTATTCCTGGACACATTTGAATTGATATGTATTTTTAATTTGATAATTTATGTGGATTTGAGAGTGATTATTAAATTAACTTTACTTTTTAACAATTAAAACACATAACTTTTTAGCGATTTATATATTTAAAATAATGAGTTATTTTGTATTTTATATGTAACGTTAAAAAACGACCTGCTACGTTACGATATTCATTCCATCGTGATATTAATTAAGGTATCCTTCAAGAGGGGGCAGACAAAACGGATTTGTGAGTTAAGAGTTGAAAGGAGCAGCCTGAGAGAGAACCTGTTTAACAGCAAGCCAAGTTTGAAACTACAACAAGAGAGAACCTGTCCCAAACGCATCCTAATCTGATACGACACTGACGTTTTGCAATGACGTCACTCTCACGTGGAGCCTACCCTCTTAAGATGGACAAAAAAAACTTATTCCAGCGAGCGTTGACGAGAAATCAGAACCGTAGACTATAGTAGGAGCACTCCTTTTAATATATATATATATATATATATATATATAACGGACTTTTCTTTTAAATCTCTTTGCCTAACATTACTTTTGGTTCACCTTCGTTTCAGCTGAAGAATAAGTAAATACTGAGTTGGACATAAGAACATTCATTGCACCTGGACGGTTTTTGGGTTTGTCTTGCTTTTTAGGTTACAGACATATTAGGTTTTAACTCCTTATTTAATTATAAAGACCACCAAGTTTGGCGCACGTTATGGGAAGGTGCTTACTGTTTATAGGCATTCCTTACTTTATAAACTTGTGAAATTTTCTTCTTGTATAGAATTACATTGGCCTTTTCTTCTTTTTGATTTTTATTTGCAGAAAATGGTGAGGGCTAGCTCGGGTGGGGCGTCTTGTTTTTTTTGACAGGGGATAGAAGATCTTTTCGAGTGTGAGAGGTTAATCTTATTGCTCCACTATCAACGGTTTTCATTACAAGGTAAGTGAATGAGGTGGTGAGATACGATGACTTTTTTCTTGAGCCCCTCCTTCTAAAAAGACATGCATTTTGAAAGATGCTCTCCTGTTTCAAATCAAAGAAAAGATAAAAGGACCTTCTGAATTCTGGGTTTTGCTTCTCATCCTCATATATAGTATAGCATGGTATTGTTTTTGTGCCTAAACATTGAAAAAAAACAGTAAAAGTCTGAAAGTTTTAGATTCTTATCCTGTTTGCTTGCTGTGACAATTCTATTTAACAATGTAGGATGAGTATAGTGATGTGCTATCATTTGGGTTTTGGATCAAGATTAATTAACTAATTAAATCAACGCTTTTGACGTGCTTTGGTAGATACAGTCAAGTTTGCTTTTAGGGTTTTCAGAAAGCCCAAAAATTGATAAATATTGAGCTTTATGATCACGTATATAGTACTTCTTCATTAAATATAGCTCTGTTTTATTTTTATTTTATTTTTCTTGGTTGGGGAGGGGCCTTAGCTTTTAACCTTGAATGCTGGACGTTTTCATTAAATGCCCTTTCTTCCACAAAATAATCATGAAAGACGTTGGGACCATGGCTGCAGATAATTTTATTTGTTGTTTTTCTGGTCTATAAGAGCAATGGGAATCAATAACTCGGTCAGAAATGAAAGTTCAAAGCTTTAAAAGAAAATGTTCTATTTTTCTAGTTAATAATGACTGGTTGTGGTTGGAAAGGAGTTGCGTTTTTAGCACTTCCACTTTTCTGATACCATATTCTTCAGCAACAAGACATTAAAGCTCTATCTATATGCTATCAGTTTCTTAGCTGCTGCCAGCCATGCTCCTAAGACAGTTTTTGGCAATGCGTTTAGACTCTTGTTTTTTAAGTGTATTTGATTTGTAAAATGATTAATTGGATGCTTTTTAGTTGTTTTTGAATAATTTTAATATGTCTGCATCAGAACATAAAAAACAATAATTAAAAAGCATCGAATTAATGGTTTTTTAATCCAAACAAAGCATTACCAAATACACAGTAAGTCAAAACCTTTTCAAATTGCGTAGTTTTACTTCGAAAGCACCACAATTATGGAGGCGTTGAAGAGCTTATATCACTAAGTGTTGAATAATCCATGTCTAGTTCGGTCATAAATAAAAAATTACTGTCCACTTTGCTGAGTATCATGTATGTGACATGCATGAGATCCAGATTTATTCCTTATTGCTAATTAACCATAATTCCCTGTCTCTCTCTCTTAATTAGGAGGTTTGGCTAGTGATCCTAAAACTTATATAAGCAGGTGCTTTTACGCTAACATTCATGTTCAGTAAGGCTTAGCATTCCTCTGCGCTGGATGTCCTAGCTTTCTCTCTCCCTACTGGCTTCCGTTGTCGTGGTTAGCTTCAACTTATTGTCCACTGACTAAAGTTTCACTTTATTGGTTTGTGCTAAGCTTTTCTTTGGAAGACTGTACTGAAAATGCATGATGTTCTGTTCGTAGATTTCAGAGTTTGTACTTGCATGGGCTTATTGTACATGTTAATAGAATATTACATCAATGGAAAGACTGAAAAGCAACATTTACCTTGGCTTGATTCAGTAGTTCAAGCATTTGCTTCATATTCTTTCTGCAAAGTTAAGATCAGCATCGCCTTCTTTATGATGATGATTATCTTATAAACTGTCCTGCATTACAGGTAACTGTCTATGTCTTCCGCTGTTCATTCAACTGAAGAGTACGATATGGATATAAGAAGCCTGTCATCCTCTCACCGTCATCCTCAAGACGCGCCTTATGTTCACAAGGTTGGACTCCCCCCTAAGCAAAACCTCTTCAAGGAGTTCAAAGCCACTGTGAAAGAGACATTCTTTGCAGATGATCCTCTACGTTCCTTCAAGGACCAACCAAGGTCTAAAAAGTTCATCCTAGGTCTCCAAGCTATCTTCCCTATTCTTGAATGGGGAAGAAGTTACAGTTTTGCAAAATTTAGAGGTGACCTCATTGCTGGGCTGACAATTGCTAGTCTTTGCATTCCCCAGGTAGATTATCTGCTTACAAGATGCATAAGAAACAGAAATATTATGTATTCACGACTTTGCACTGTTTCTAATAGTTTACATTTTGGGAAAAAAATAAATAAATAGGATATTGGGTATGCAAAGCTTGCAAATTTGGATCCTCAGTACGGATTGTGTAAGTTTTCCTTATTCATGCACATCTTGCTGCCTTTGGCTTGTTCTTGAATTTGATGG